GACGGTTTCATTAGCGCCTTTGTATTACATATTTTCTTTTATACGCTCTCCGATTTCTTATGGGAATGTAATTGCCACGCGTTGAAAGTAGACAAAACCAGTAGTTTTATTTGCGAGTGTGGTAAGTTTAAAACAATGGTAAGTAGGTGTAGAACAGACAAAGTGAGCATTGTTACTACACGATGCGGCGCCGGCGGCGATGCGGGCTGGGCGCCGAAATGCCGAGCGCTCCCTACATGAATCAACTGCTACTCACTTTCGTTGAAAACCTGTCAACGCTCCTTTTAAAGTATACATTTTAAATCACATTATTTACACGGTGCTTTCGTCGGTTGCCTTGAACGATCGATGACGTGGTTAGCAAATTTAATTATTTATCCTACGTAATATATCGAATGTAAACATGAAGTGATCCCAATAAGAAGGGTAGGAGCAGCTATGGTCTGGAAAAAGCTTAAAGTCAGGCATCTCGTCTTACCGTTAGCGGCGACGCGGCGCCAACCTACAACTTTGCATGAACACGTATTTATATTACGATTACTGTTTGATAGGTTATCGATATCACTATTCTTTTATTTCCAAGATTCATTCTCATACGTGAAATATAAATCGACAACGTCGAGGATTGAGTCCGTCATTTCCAATTTTCGCCCTTAAATGACTAATATAACGCAAGTTATAGTAGAGAAAAAAACCTTTCAATACCTTAACAAATTTAACTGAAATTAATAGCAATTAGCCTTGGCTTAATAAGTTTAAGTTAATTATTAGCTGACACAGAGGACATTTTTAATTTGTTGATTTTTTAATCTACGCTTATGAGATGCATCCGCCACAGACGTAGTCGTCACAAATCTTAGATAGTGGCTTAGGCTTATAGGCTAGACGCCAAGTCATAGCGTATCTACTAGAATTACCGGTGGTATAAACTGTCACTGTCGCTTCCACGTCTAGCGTGTGCAGCATTATGCTGAATATTTAAAAGGATAAGTCACCATGAAAGTGGCTTAGCATTGCAGACTGAAAGGTATTTGCCGGCGCCTCACGTCGGCGTCGGGTCCCGGTATAAATCGCAGGTTTATGTGGGCGGACACATCGGCGGCTCCTTCTGATAAACGCTGGATGACCCGGGCCCTCCGGGGATGTGTTATCGTGAGAAAGATGCTCCGATACAACGATAAAATGTGTTCTCATCTCATCTAACGGCAAGGACTTTGAAGTTAGCTTTCTTTTAAAGTATTTTATTCTCCCGTACTTTTTTAACCGACTTCAAAAAAGGAGAAGGTACTCAATTCGACTGTATGTTTTTTTGTATGTGTGTTACGCGATAACTCTGATTTTGATGAATCTTTTTTTGGAAAGAGGGTACCTTTGCAGTGGTCCCATTTAAATTTGAAGAAAATATTCCACCTCTAAGGGTCGCAAACTAGGGGATGAATGACTTTTGAGGTCGGTTGTATTTTTCAAGAAAATGTCTGCCCGTTTTAAAAAATTATACAGTGTCTTGTACGTATATCTAATCTATACTATGTCTCTTGTCTATTTATCTGAACCTTCTTTTCATCTGTTGCTCGAAAAAAAATATCAGCCAGAGCTACCTAGGCTGTTTTTTATTGATCATTTGTATTTTGTTATCTTGATTGTAATTCCGACACTCTTCGTCGCTGTTATTTCATTCATCGATCATTACGTGGCTGTACAGGCTGTTAAGTGCTCTTTTATGTTTCCTTTGGAGTACATTATCTCTATTTAGATTTTACATAGAATGTATCTGCAAAAATTCATATTTCAGAATATTATCATAAAGTAAATTTGAACTTACTGAAAGTCATATTATCTTAATAGTATAAAACAAACACCTTTCCAAGTAAATTTTTGATTTTATAAAGTTCAATTTGCTTAATGTTTGAATTAAACTAAATTCTAAACCAAAGCTGTCTACTATTTGCTTAAACATGTATATTAGGATAGATGTAAATGTCTTACTAAATTAAATAAGAGTTCTACCTTCTTCCATCACCTGCGCTCAAGTGCAGAGTTTCATTTCAGAAACGTGAGCTCTGTGGTACACTTGCGGCTTCGATCTACGTAAGAATACAGTTTGTACCCCGACCGTATTTCCTCTACAAACCTACCACACGAACGTTACATCTAGGTATTTTAACTTAATAGGTACTATGTTAAAAAAATGCTGTTTTAATTGGGTAAGTATTTTCTCTGACATAAATCAAAGTTCATACGAACTCGAACATGATCGATTCGCCACTCCATCGACCACGCTCCGGCCCGCAGCTTTGAATTAAGATAACAGTTTTATTACCTTATAATTCAATTCGTCTAGCTCGATTCCCTTATCATTTCCACTTATAAAGGTACTCAAATGCGGAGCGGCGTTCACGTTTGGTTGCAACATTGCACAGTCAAAATTCTAAGCTTATATTCAATCCTGTTGTGTGTGAACTTGGCCTGGGTCAGACTCTACGTCTGGGTCAGCGAGATACGAGTACGAAAAGTCTGTATTTATGCGACGACATTCCTATCTCAACGATGCAATTAACAATAGAGCGCAATAATCATGTTACAACTGCCGCGTCTGTTAACTTCGGAACTCATAACCATGACGACACCTCCGCGAAATTGCAATGTATTAATCAATCAGTAGCAATCGCAGATAACCAGAACAACGACTTAGATGCAAAGCAAATTGGGCGACTATAAATTAACTAGCTACTCTGAAGTAATTTATGACCTTATGAGACATATTTTACAAAAAACATTTGGCAACTCAAACGTTTGAGCAGATTTTATTAGTTGTAAAATCTGTATAACAAATTATATTATGAATCTAAATAACGAATGGGTTTTAAAGTAGATACAGGTACTTTATAGCGTCAATAAAACATATTATTTCTGTCGCCATAATTCATAGGCGGGGAGCATAGTTGTATTGAGTAGGGTCCGTGATTAACTCCTTCCGTGAGCAGGGTCAACTGGAAGGGGTCATGGGTTGACACCCGCCTAGGTTTACGAATGGCTTTCTCAAATTGCTTTGTATTATTAAGATTTTACGATGATTTGAAGGTAATAAGCATAGAGGGAATATACTAGTAATGAACGTTCAAATTATATCTTTGCATTACAATATTTGTAAATATAATTACGCACTACATAATTTGTACTTTGCAATTATAACTGTAATATTTATACAAATGTTTTATTAACGATTTTTTTTTGCATTACTCATTTAATTTCTAGATGTGCCAAAAATGTTCTTTCTAATCTTCCCATTCCATTTTCACGGCACTTACCACACTGGATGTAGCATTAAGGTTAACGCCACGAGGATTTTAATGGAAGCAGCCTACGTAATCTCTTTTGACTTTTAACGCCTTTTAAATAAACAAGTTACGACGTGGTGAGAAGTACAATGCACTGCCACATAGTCAACCAGTTCACTGTAAGTCTATTATGCCATAAATTTATTTGATTAATCAATAGAGAGGAGCGGGTACTGCCCTGGTGCTAACGATGAACATCCTCCTCTGCTGTCACTACAGCATCCTTGATTTTGCACCCTAACAAATGCCGAGGGATATAAATAGTATCTTTTCTAACTTGTTCGAATTTTCAAATCGTCAACAGTTAACTTAATAGTAACTGGAAATCATGAGGCACAATATGGATGTCTTTATTTTTTATTGCAGCCACGCGGTAGAATGATTGTCAATAACAGCCCGAAGTTTTTCTATACCACATGACAGAAATCGCTAAGGCGTCAAATATGTGATTGACGTGTAATTTGATCCATCAATAGGGATCAACATATGTGACCTCTGTATGTGACCGGGTAGATGGATTTGTTGTTTACAAATCTGCTGTGACTTGATTTCTTTATTAGATACGAACGTCCTCAATTAGAATGACGTTACAACTAAGTCCACTGTCTAAAGTTTTCTAAGAACTAGTTTAGGCTTTATGTGGAGCAAGTGATGGATTTGAATACGCAAATATGAAAAAAAAACAAAAATCAAAATGGCTAAGTTAAACAATTACCATGATCAACGTGACTTCTTAATTCCTGCTATAGTCGTGAAACTACAAATAAGTGGCGAAAACAGCAAAAATATTCGTAAGATAATATTAATAATTAAACTACGTGAATACGGTAGTTCAAGATATGTATGAGTAAAAGTGAACTGAAATGCTTCTAGGTAACACTACAGTGTTAAACCTATACTAGACCGCTAACAGCACTAACGATGTTTACAAATTGTGTCACGTTTGCTGCACCGGCAATAGTTTACTGCCGCAACTGAACAAATATGTTCATCGTATGCAACGAATTTCTGGTAAATAGAAAAACAGTGCAATACAATCTATTCTTAGAGTGACATCAATGAAATACCTTTTATATAGAGGTATGTATCTATTTTTTTGTGTGTAATTATTAAAAAGGAATTGTAAAATGAGAACTTTTAAATCCTGAAGGATAATTGTTTTGAAGAACACTAGTTTTGTTTTTCAAAGGAATATGAAACTAAAAATTTATATTATTTAAACCGAAGTAATTACTACCACGTTTAGTAAAAAAACGGACATTTGTCCAAACGCTTATTAAACTACTAAAAATAAACATTTGCTCAAAATTATGCGAGGTGTACTCATACATAAAATATAAACATGAGTTAGATGGCTAGGTCATCGCTTTAAAGATTATACAACGTCATGTTAATATCATTTTTATATACGTTAATTAGGTCTGATATAGATCTAACATAAAATAATTATCATAATACCTGTTCAGGTGCAGAATTGAACAAAATAATTCACTAAGATATGAATTAAAAATATTTATATGAAGTTTCTTGTTAAATAATGTATGAATTTCATAATAAACATACATGTAAACGATTTAATTAGAAGTTACATAAAAACGCAAAACATTTACGTACTTATAAGAAACGATCATAAACTTAATCTAACAAAGTAAACAAATGCACCTGATATCGAAGACTTGTAAACAGTGAAGAATTGATTATCCAAGGAAGCACAGGAATCTCATTCACTGCAATCTGCAATTGATGCACTACTCCACTTCTCTATCACGACACGAAGTGTTTAGTGTCAATTAAAGTGTATGTTATCGAGTGTGCTCTCGCGCAATACCGGCTTAAAGTAGACGACGACACGCGCTCCCCGTAGCCGACAATCAGAAACTGAACGTTTCGCCGGGCCGGACCAGTTATTATGCGCCCACTGATGCCATCAATAACTTTACCACGTGGGTCTGTGACTCTACGTATACCGTCTGCAAGTATATGCAGGGTGCCGCTTATCGGTGCATAGCCAGTAAAAACTCTTGATTCATCATAATGTAGATTTCACATGTAACATCACACCGTTAAGATAATGTAGGCAAACAAGATGCCTCACAGAACATTGCACTTGTCAGTTACGTGCTATAAGCTGTAACTTATTCAGGAACTTGTCGTTTGTTGTATGGTTAGTAATTTTTAATTGAAATTCTTTTTGCATTAATCGTCGCAAGTATTCCAAAGAAATGTTGGAAAAATTCCCATATGGGTCATTACTCATACTTAGATACAAGAGAAGTCAAACAAGGCAAAGAGTATGGTTTTTATTTGAATCAACCTCATTCGTACGCCACATAATCTATGAAGTGTCGACTGTTGCATTTCAAATGATTTGATTTGATTTGATTTGATGTAATGACTTTTTCTCGAAAGTACACGTAATACACTATCATCGCAAAATATTCTGCTGTATTAATCCACGCATTTAAAACTTCAATATATTTCGAAAACAAAAGAAAAGCTCACAAAATATATAAAAATATACTTCTATGTAAAATTTTACGTTGCATATATCAAAAGTCTTTTCCAGATTTCACTAAAATCAAAGCAGACGCCGCTAGCCCACTCTTTAATTTATAACGGTTATGATGCTGTATGCTCAACAAAATTATGTGTCTCTTACAACAAAAAATAAATAATCATCATGTTTTATTCGAAATGAAAATATTTTTTCGGATTTAAAATCGCGTATTTTTTCAAATTAACTTTCATGACTTTTCCTAATCTCAATAGCAAAAACCTAAGAATTCGATCATATTTCATTTTAAATAAAAAATGTAGTAACATAAAATAGTATAAATAGTTATATTATTATTATAATATTACTGTACATTTTTGATTCATTGAAAATACTTGCTAATTTTTTCATGCTAAAATTAGCAGTGTTAATTATTCTCATAATTATAAATACTGCTATTATTGTATTCGATTCTAATTCTTTAGACATTTTTACCTTTATGTATTCAACCGAAGAAATATAACAATTCAATAACATTGGAATAAATAGTTGTGATATTAAATGAGATTATGTACTGGAAATTCTGACGAGTTGCTGAATAAAGACTCATATTCATGTATGGACGGCAATCTAAGTGTAAATAATAAACAGAATCATATTAAAGATTTTTTTATTTACTTGAACTTTATATCATATTATATGATGTAATTTTTTTTATATCAATCAACGGGACACACGAGTAGTGCGCCCGGTGGTAAGCTGTTCATGACAGTTGCAGTGCCATTAAGAGCTTTAAATCGTAAAGATCTGCGCGGCACTACCTCTGCGCCCATCATATCACATTCCACTGCTGCACATAGGCCTCTACCAATGTGGTCTATTACGCCCTGTCCTCAGCTTGACGTACCTACCCATCCGCTGCAAGCAGCCCTTCGTAGATCGTCACTCCGCCTGGCCAGAGGGCGTCCTACACTATACTGAGCTCAGAATCCTCGACACACATCTGTGACCATAATAATAATAATAAAGTGTAAAATAGATATAATAATATCTCAAACACTCAACATAGCCCCGCACTAGGGAAACCCTAGGTCGCGGGTGCCATGGATACACACATAGACAATCACAAATTACACCCAAATTCACAAGAGAAATAAATGTAGGCCATACAAATATTTCTCCTGGCTCGGGATCGAATCTGGGACCTCTGCGTGGTAGTCCGGCATGGTAACCGTTCGGCCACGGAGGCAATTAATAGATATGGTTTTGTGTTTTTAGTTAATATTTAAATGTTAGGTTTTCATTTGTATGTTTTATGTTTTTTTTTGTGTGTGTGGCGAATAAATTGATAGTCACTAGAAGAATGTTTTCATCTGATTAGAGCAGTAGTTTGCTATTCAGTTACACGTAGTAACATATACAGTGTGGAAACAATATATGGATCGGCCTATAGTTGGCAGAATCTTCTCGAATACCCTTCTTCGGCATTGATTGTATTAACAGTTACAAATTATAGGATTTATGCCTTGTACTCACAATCCAGGTGATCAATATCTTAGTATTCATGCACGGACTCCTTTGTTTCATGATTAGATTTCACTTTTTGACTTGACTCTAATTTTGACTTATAAAGTGACAGCAACCTATGATAGCGAATGAAATCAAGATTGTTTTATGTGATCAAGAAATATATTAAACGGCGCAACTCCGAGTGTTGTGAAATGGCAAGCTATAAAAATTTAAACTAAGCGCAGTTGTCTACATTGTAAGCCTCACAATTTTGCGTTATAACGTAATTTTGTTTTTAATAAAGTTTACACATGGATACGGTCAAAAACATTTTGTAGTAAATATTAGACAAACTAAATACCGCGAGCTTGATTAGCTGTTAATTAACTTTGTGAAAGTTTCATGCATCTTCTAAAAATATTTTTAAAGCACAATTTTAATCCAAAGGCGTGAGTATCCTTAAACAGTGTCATGATGGACTTTAGCTACATGGCGTAAAGAACATTAACTTATCAACTTTGGCATCGAAAATTTATACATTTTTACGTAAAAAACCGACGTCAAAAGTCTTTCATCCCCTAGCTTGCCACCCTTAGAGGAAAATTTTCTTTAAATTTAAGTGGAACAACATCTGAGGTACCAACCTCTTCTCTTCAAATCTTTCCAACAAAAAAGGAATCATCAAAATCGGTTCACATATATCGGAGTTATCGCGTAACATACATACAAAAAAAACCATACAGTCGAATTGAGAACCTCCTCCTTTTTTTAGATTAAGAAGATTTTATTTTGTTAGATTAATGTCCACTTGCACTAAACCTAGGTACGTCTTAAACCAATAATTGCAATGCAAAAGACACTCTTAATACATTGTGTTAAGAGTGTCTTATCAATTTAAGCATTGGTTTAAGACATACTTAAGTTTAGTGCAAGTGGACATTAGAGGTATTCTTTCTAGTGCAATGTTTTTTCATACGACATTTGAAATTGAAGCAGTCAGAGACTAAAGTCGAGGGAGAGTTCAGTGTGAATACGTTGCGTAAGTTTACTCAAATTTCACCATCCGTCATGTTCATGTAGCACGTTCAGAGGAATGTGCTTCGCAAACAGCGATTTATTTGACTGGAGTTGAACAATATCCTTGTAGCGTAACTGGCTCTATGGCCTTACAAGGTAACACAGGTAGCTTCTCAGCCTCGTCTTACTCATCCCTAATAAAGATTTATATCAGTTCCTGGCGGTCATTCAATTTCATTACCTTTACGAACTATGGTTTTTGAAATTGAGTTTCGGTGTTCGACAATGGAGTTAATGGCGCGTTTAAAAACGTCATAGTTTAATTTAATATGAAATTATACATATAATTAGGATAGTTTATAACGTAGGTTCGAGAAACTCCAAGAATTTAATCACGCGTAGGTATCTATATAAATTCCGACCTAATTTTAGTTTCAATAAATGTAATTAATTCGTATGTTAATGTAATTATAAATCCAATTTCTTGGATATAAAGCGCATTAAAGACATCTGAGTGCACACATGTATGGCTTGTTTGTATCTGTTATCAAAGTAGGTCGAGTTGTTGCAATGTTCCCTCCTTCACATGTATTATTGTACGCTTTATACCGGGAATCCTTATAGTAGTGGCCGCTTAAATGCAAATCAGTTTCTATTATAATACTACGTCTTTCTCAAACGTTTTGCGTTGGCTTTATTTTCAAAGCGTTAATTATGCTAGCAATCCTTAGCATGTGTTAGTACTCAGTTTAAATGTTATAAGTGGCTATTACTACCTCTATACTTTTCGTAGCCGTAGAGCTCCTTGTGAAAGAGTTCATAAAGTCGATTTAATTTCTGCCGACAAGCAATAATGTGAGAATTACTGCGTTTCGATTTTGAAGGGTAAGGATGCGGATGAAATCACAGGCACTGGGACTTGTCAACTTGGTCTCAGGGTGATGAGGCGTAGTGGCAGTGTCCTTCAGATCTTTGCGATTTAAAACTCTGAGTGGCACGGCAACTCTGATGATAGACTCACGACCAGGCGCATGAGTTCTTCATCCCGTCACTAGAATATATCTTTATAAAATTCGCAGCTTTATTATTATTATAGGACATGATCCAAAACTAAATAGTTAATTTTTTTACATAGCTGTATTCAGAATGTGCTAAATTTAGAATTACACCGATCGTTCCATTGGATAAAGTAATAAAACCTTATCTATTTCTAATGCCAAGCAGTAACGAGAGCATTACTGCGTTTCGGTTTTGAAGGGTAAGGGTGCGGATGAAATTACAGGCACGTCGGTCTTGCGAACTTATGTCTCAGAGTGACGGGCGCAGTGGCAATGCCCGTTCAGATCGTTGCGATTTAAAGCTTTGAAGGGCATTGCAACCGCTATGGACAGGCGTGTCGCTTAACACCAGGTGCGCGGCTTGTTCGTCCCGTTAATTGATATCATAAAAAAAGTCGGAAAACGTTGTAACAATTCTTAATTTACGTAAAGAATATAAATAAACCTACTGTGTTGTACTATGATATAAAATTTGCATGGGACTATATTTAAGTATTTGTGTTTAAGTAAATCCGATCCATTATCGTGCGTTCGTACAAGGCGGAAAGATAACATCAAAGGCGGTCATTATAGTGATAAACGACAATTGTCTTGTCCTCACTGAACAATAAATACTCCATCGAGACGGGTGATATATTATTTCTCGCCTGTTTATAGTCATTAAAAGCTATTGTCAGCAACTATATCGATATTTGAATTGAATGCTCCCGCAATCGTTACGGTTTTATCATGTAGATTGATCAGTAGACAAGTTCTGGTTAAAGTGAAATCTGTGTGGTCTAAATGACTGTTATTCGATACTGTGGCGCCAACATTGGTGGCTATGACAGGAAAATGCTCCCTTAGTACATACCATTGTAGGATGCACCCTGACATCATTTCGAAATTACTACATTGATACCAGGAAAGAAGAAAGGATTTAGGTATAATAAAAACAGGATTGTATTGGTACAATGGTTGGTGTCAAACCTTAAATAGTCATTTGAATATGCAGCAAAAATCCATTTTGTTTGCTGAGGTCAGTGTGCGTCATCTGCACAAGCGGTTGAAGTGTACCTTGTAGCACCAAACACTTGACGTGGAGCCGCCCACGAAGACGCCTCCGCTGCCGATGCTTTGGATTCCAGCGTCTCTAACGCCCCGTGACGTCATAATTTGATTGACACTTATATCGATCAGTTTTTGTAACAATGAAATTTTACAACCCGTGTTCACGAATAAATCGTTTGAACGCCCATCATGGTCTTAGCAATAGGTAATAAACATTGACTTTGTTGTCAGGTGTCAGGGTTGTTGTCAGGGCAACAATGGATACTTATTACAAGAGATTTGCTGCAACGTTCAGCTCGTGTAACTGCAACTTACCTAAATAATTGAAGGTTGGGTTCAATCTGGTAACAACGACAACCTTTATGTAAGTAATTGGGGTATTCACCAAATTCGTTTCGCAGGAGTTATGTCAATTGTATAATCATACCTCTTCAATATTATTTATTAGTAAGATCGAAGTGATATTGAATATAGATTTCAATCCATTGTTTTCAAAACAAGATGAGAAATGTTAAGCATCTTGTCTCAGGTAAAAAAAAAACACGTTCTGTCTTTTGTTTTATCATAATATTTGCTTTATTCATTGACTTACAAATAAATTTATTTAATGAAAAGGTTACCTTTATTTCAAGCTATATTTATTGACATATTGCCAATATCATTGGACCTGCTGACTGAGGGAATATAAATACAGTTCTCGAGAAACTGTGGGTGATTATTATGGCAGTTTTATAACCGATTAGTCATAGCTAAACTTATGAATGAATCGTATCCAGATTTACTGCGCACCTTGAAGAGCCGGCAACAACTATGTGTACGTCTATATGAAGAAGTAAACACCTGGAAAATTGTTTCGTGGAAAACAGAAAACTTTACATAAGCAAAATTTCGACATTGATAATAAGCATACCTAACAAAATTCTTAAACTAAAACTGGATTTGTAATGTATACACAAAATTGAAAACAAATTTTCAGAAGTTCAAATAAAAATAATGTTGTATAAGATCGCGTACCTAGATCTTCTGTGTTAAATAGTTACTAACCTTCAAATGTGTAAAAAACAAAACCATGAATTTTGAGATTTGTTTTACTTTAAACAATTAACCTGTTAATGAAAACACTTCTCTCATTAGTCTCATGATAGTTAGTATTATGAAAGTTAATTAGATCTGAAGCCAAATCTTAGACATGTCATTAAAGACAGGAGTTAATGAAACAGTGCAATCGCGTAAGTTATTCACACGAAAAGTAACAAACAAATTACAGGCACATGAGGCTTGTCAACTTATGTCTCAGGGTGATTGGCGCAGTGGCTGTGCCCATATGATCTTTGCGATTTAAAGCAGCAAAGCTAAAACGTCTAATTTCAACAGTTATTACATATTATATAATATAAATATAATAACACACACACACTCAACATAGCCGCGCACTAGGGAAACCCTGTGTCGCGGGTGCCATGGACACACATATAGACAACCACAATTTACACCCAAACTCACGAGAGAAAGAAATGTAGGTCATACAAATATTTCTCCCGGCCGGGGCCCGGGAATAGAACCTGGGACCTCTGCGTGGCAGTCCGGCATGGTAACCGTTCGGCCTCAGAGGCAGTTAATATTGCTTGTCATGTACCTCGAGGGAATTCTCCACTTCGTCCCGATTGATTTAATAGGGTTGTGCAAACTTTCAAAGAAACTCAATAACGAAACCTTACAATTCACTCATCGTAATCGTCGATATATAGGGACGGCTTATTAATTATTTATATAAACATACTTTGAAAACTTAGATTGATATCAAAGTTTAATAAATGCTTCTAAATATTATGCGTAATGATTTACAACGGCGTGCAAGCTTATAATTTACGTTCTTGATTTACAGCACCATTTAACTAATTAATTTAAATAATTTAGCCTGTAATATATTTTAACCACTAGTAGCCATATGCTAGAATTTACTAAAGATTTAAAAAGCTACATTGGAATTGAATTTAAATGCTGTTGGGAAACTCGCCACTCATACCAGATGATAACACATGTAAATAATAATAATTCATCTCTAGAACGTAGTCGTCCTTACTCGCTTTCTAGAATGCCCTTAGGTATTTATGTTGAGATATGGTTCTCTCTATTAAAGTGAACTAAGTGCCTCGAAACCTGCACGTCGATGTTGTGGAGCTCCTTGGAAAATGTGTGAAGTCCCCAACCCGTATTGGGTCAGTGTGGCGGAGTACATGGGGCGCACTATAAGTTTCCGGAATGAATAAGAAAAAAATACTATTCATGGTCAGAAATTAATTTATTGTTTCTCAAAATATTCTCCATTAGCGTTAATGCACTTTTTCATACGAATGAACAAATTTTGAAAACATTTATGCCACTCCTCCGTTACAATCTCTGAAACATATTTTTCATACTCTTCGACAGCCTCTTCAAGTGATGAAAATCGTTGACCGCGTAACTGGTTCTTAATTTTTGGAAATAAATAAAAGTCACAAGGTGCCAGGTTGGGACTGTACGCGGGATGGCTCATAAGGTCAACGTAGTTCACCTTCAAAAAATAATTTGTCTGTTTGGGCGTGTGAGAACTGGCGTTATCGTGCTGCAAGATGATACGGTGTTTACAGTTATTTTTACGGAGTTTGTCAAAAACTTCCGGCAAACAAATGGTCGTGTACCAATCCGTGTCCAGTTTTATGAAACGAAGAAGCAATCATCCTAGAGGCACTTTGCGCGCGCGCCACTTTGGTTGGTTTCGGATCATCTCGAAAGACCCATACGCTCGATTGCTGCTTTGTTTTGGGATCGTAACTTTAAATTCATGTTTCGTCACCTGTTGCCATGCCCCACACCAAATTTGACGCCCATTCGTTGAATCTGGTAAGCATGGCATTGCACCAAGTGACGCGATCCGTTGTTTGAGCCTCAGTCAAATTGTGTGGGATCCACCAAGAGCACAGCTTTTTCACACCCAAATGTTTGTGTAGTATTGATTGAATTTGACTTATGATTATGCCTAAAGATGCCTGAATCTCATGGTATGTTACATGCCTGTCTGTAGTGGTCATACGGCGCATAGCATCGATGTTTTTGTTGTTTACAGCAGTGGACGGGCGACCACTACGAAATTCGTCAATGAGATTCATACGACCGCGTTTGAATTCTACAAACCAGCTATAAATAGTCGTCTTGCATGGTGCTTCATCGCCAAAAGCAGTTTGAAACCGAGCGAAGCTCCGCTGAACTGTTAAATTACACTTAAAGTCGTAGAAAATCAGACTACGAAAATTTTCACGAGTTAAATCCATGGTCATGTAGGCAACCAATTTCTAAAATGAAGCCACAATGTAAAAACAAGTGACAGTCAGATGAAACAAACTGTATTCTACAGCCAAAGAGTTCCATTTTCAAATATTGTAATTATTTTTTAAATATTATTTATGTAAGTGGCTAGTTTCGGAAACTTATAGTGCGCCCTACGTATATGCTCTAAACCCTCACTCAGGTAAGAAGACCCGAGCCCAGCAGTGAGACGTATAAATGGCTTGGTGATGATGATGATGATGAAGCACCTCAAAATATTAAATTTTTAGCAGCAGTTGAGCTCCTTGTGAAAAAGTTCGTCCAGGAAAATACTGCCACCTTACTTACTATTTCTACCGCCAAGCAGTAATGTTAGCATTACTTCGTTCCGGTAAAGAAGGTTAGGCGTGCTGGTGAAATCACAGGCACATGAGACTTGTCAACTTATGTCTCAGGGTGACAGTCGCAGTGGGAGTGCCCCTCAGATCTTTGCAATTTAAAGCTCTGGGTGGCACTGCAACTATTATGGACAGGCGTATAGCTTACCATCAGGTGCACTTGTTCGTCCGGTCGCTTGATATTATAAAAAGAAAAAAATGTAATAATTTATATGTATATTTTGTGATTCACACTGTCGTCTATTAGAAATAGATTCTTGTTTGCGCACCTACTCGAATTATGTTATAATTTGACGTAAGTGAATTAATTATTCACTTGCTATTACGCTTTACTACGGAGTAGAATGTTATTATGCTAAATTTAATGAATACACAATTGTATTGAACAATTGAAAGAATAATGGGGTTAATTTATTTAGTATGACGGTATATCATCTTGAATGACATTAATAACCTGCAGAAAATACAATATAGAGTAATAAATATAATATAGTGTAATAAATCAATCGTATTGTTCTATATTGAGTTTTGTTCCAATCTATTTACGATTCAGTGTCAGTTGGTTTTTATGTCAATTGATTACAAATTTTTATTCTTTCCCTTTTGTACAAGATCCCTCTCCAGAAGAGCCTACCGAGGCGGTGAGATAGGTACCAATATTTTTCATGCTTCGGTTTAGATCAGACCTGTGATATAATTTCAGGCTGTTCATATTTACCACGAAATAATTATTTCTAGTAATCTAAAGGCTCTTCGACAGGTTGTGCTCGTATCGCACGTATCAATGTGGTGACATTGTCTATTTATTGTTACAGGTCACAGCGCCCAAATTCCCTGTCGTAATCAAGATAGGGCACGCGCACAGTGGTGTCGCCAAGGTGAAAGTGGATACCTTGGCCGACTTCCAGGTAAATGACGTCATTTATGACTTTATTATCTAAAAGTTAGTTATTTGGGGAATGCTTTACCTACATCAGAACTAAAAGCAGCATGCGAAGTAACGATGTTGCATGAAATGTCAGAACTATTGATAGGTAAGTCTAGGTAATGTAGAAGGCAAAAAAACTATTTTAAACTTAAAAATGTTAAACTTCACTTAAAACTTAAGAAAGTAATAAATCGAACTAAGTTAACAATTTTTTATAAAATTCCACGTAAGTAACACACGAATAACAAAATTCCGAATTAGTTACTGATATGTATGTAGGTCATAACTACTTATTATGTTCGTTAGAACATAAGCACTTTCTTTTTACGGAGTAACATATATAACGTTGATAATATGTAAATCAATAGGTTTAATAATTTTCCTGTACATTTTAGGACATTGCTGGAGTAGTAGCAATGTTGGGCACCTACTGCACCGTGGAACCGTACATCGACGCCAAATACGACATTCACATACAAAAGATCGGCACCAACTACAAAGCTTTCATGTAAGCAACCGTACAACATCATACAACTATAATAATAATAATAATGTTTATTTACTTTAAACAATAATGTACAGACATACAAAATAATTAATTATAAATTATAAAATAAGGCTAAGAAAATTGTACATTTCAAATTATGTAAGCCTCTGCAGCCGAACTAGGATTAAACCTGTATCTCAGCATGCAAACTATCCAAAATTTTCCAAAATCAAACGTAACGTCAAATTCATTGGAACTTTTATAAGAAAGTTCATGGGTTGAACGCCTACCACAATGATTAAACACAACTTCACCTTAATTCTCTTGTTACAAAACAAAAGGCCGCAGGCGCTTATGAAACAAAGGACGACTCCCCAAACGTTTCGTAATTGAAAACCACATAACAAATTTCTCAACACCATTGCTTTTTGCTTTACCATAAATTAATTATTTTCAGGCGCAAATCCATATCGGGAAATTGGAAGACTAATCAGGGATCGGCCATGCTCGAAGCGATCGGAATGAACGACAGATATAAAATGTGGATCGATGAGGTAGGTGCTTTCTGAGTAATTTCTTTTGTATGCAATCTCGCTATGTTCAAGAAGAGCGGGCTCGAATTCCCCAGGCTTTCTTGGGTAAATTTACCATGTTGGGACATCCAAATTCGGGCATCTTTAGGCATAGGCATGAGTCAAATACAATCAATACTACACAAACATTTGGATGTGAAAAAGCTGTGCTCTTGGTGGATCCCACACAATTTGACTGAGGCTCAAAAAACGGATCGCGTCACTTGGTGCAATGACATACTTACCAGATTCAACGAATGGGCGTCAAATTTGGTGTGGGACATAGTAATAGGTGACGAAATATGGATTTATAGTTACAATCCCAAAACAATGGAGCGTATGGGTCTTTCGAGATGAGCCGAAACCAACCAAAATGGTGCACGTGCAAAGTGCCTTTAAGCGGATGATTGCTTCTTTTTTTAAAAAATAAAACTGGACACGTTTGAGGTGAACAACGTTGACCTTATGAGCCATCCCGCCTTATGTTGTTACCTTATGAGTTTTATTTATTTCCAAAAATTAAGAATCAGTTACGCGATCAACGATTTTAATCACCTGTAGAGGCTGTCGAAGAGTCTGAAAAATATGTTTCAGATATTGTCACGGAAGAGTGGCATAAATGTTTTCAAAATTGGTTCATTCGTATGAAAAAGTGCAATAACGCTAATGGAGAATATTTGGAGAAACAATAAATTAATTTCTGACCATGAATAGTATTTTTTTCTTATTCATTCCGGAAACTTATAGTGCGCCACACGTATTATAAACAAAACCTAAAAATAAAAAATATGTATAGTACAGGCTGAGTAAAGAAAATAGATTTCTCACAGATGGCGCTATGGCAAAAAGTCATTAAGCCCAAAAACAGAGATCTGCAACAAAGCACAGAGTAAAATTCGTAAGGTTCGCTAGTTCGTTACGTGGCTTAGTTGGCATAGCGTCTTCCACGGTTTGCTGGAAGACGTTGGTTCGAATCCAACCGGATCGAAGGAGTTTTTCTAAGTGTTCGACCTTTGTATTAATAATTTTAACAAACTAGTAGAGTAATTTCACAAAAATAATTAAATATCGTGGTGGTCAAACATCGTGAAATTTAATCAAAAATTTAAAAATTACAATATAGTACATCTAATAAGCTGCCAAATGTCTTATGTTTGTCAGGTAAGCGAGATCTTCGGAGGCTTGGAGGTATGCGCTTTGGAGTTGGTGGTTGGCAAAGATGGACGCGAGCACATTATTGAGCTGAACGATTCTGCTACCACCTTTATGGGTGATTCTCAGGAGGAAGACCGCCGCCATCTTGCAGAGCTCGTGCTGCAACGTATGCAGGTATCTCAAAGAATTTTCCTACGTCATTGACGTTAAAACCCATTTCAATGTTTAAAAAAAAAATTATCAATTGAATTGTTACTAACCACATAACTTTATTTTACTTATCATTCTCCTCATAATTCCCGTTAATCCTACAATAAATAGATTTGCTGGGTAAGTCCATAGGGAGATATTTTTAGTTTACGCATGTTATAATGCGTCATGAGTGGACCACGTAACTTTATTTATCAATCTGCGCGTATATTCCCGTTAATACAATGCAAACGATTTACTGCGTAAATCCGAACAAATGTATTTTTAGATTACTTATTCACATCATGACAAGGTAAACATGGCATGCCTACATCTACGTACGATGTGTAATAATTTGAATGAACTGTTGTTTCCAGGCGGTGTGCCGGCCAGGGATAACTAAGACCACATCGCGGAGCTCGGTGTCTGGGAGCTCAGCAACGTCTCCCGAAGAACGCAATCCACCCCTGCCTGGGTCGGGGCCCCCGAGCGCACCCCCGCCCGCGCCCCTCACCGCCGGCGCCAGCATCGACCGCCCGCTGCCGCCCATCCCGGCAGAGCCTTCGCAGCCGCCACCGCCGCCATTGGCTAGGCGTGATTCTCAAGGTACGGCATTGCATTACGGTGAAATTTAAATATAAAGAGTTCTAGACTGCGAGCAATTAAACCTGGATTAAAAGAGTTCGTCCTGGGAAGTACTGCCACCTTGCCTATTCCGGTATTGAAGGGTAAGGGTGCTGGTGAAATTACGGACACTTTCGACTTATCAATTTACGTCTAGTGACAGACGCAGTGGCAGTGCCACTCAGCAGCTTGATTTTGATTGCCTCTCCCGATCGGAAACTGCGTCTATTCCGAGATTCACAACTTTTGACATTGCTAATCCGAACAATAGTTGATTTAACTCACAAACGAAAAAGATATAGTAGGAATCAAGTTCATATTCTCGCTCAGAAATACATCTGATTTCGAGACTACTAAATTCCGATTTGAATTAAAATCAGGACGCTGATCTTTGCGGTTCAAAGCTCTAAGTGGCGCTTTAACTATTGTGGATAGGCGTAATCGCTTACAACCAGACGCACAACTTATTCGTCTCGTCATTATTACAAAAAATTGGTATTTTCACCAGGGTCAAAGGGTAGAGAGAGTCAATGCAACTTCACTTAGAAGACCGGTAACACTCATTAAATATATATCTTACAGATCTGATCCGTAGCGCAGTTGGTAAGAGCGGTAGCCACGGTGAGAATAGATTTTGGTAAAACCAAAGTTGAGTCCACTTAGGCCAAAGGAATTTTATAATAAAATAAACATATTTATAAAATATGTAAAATAATCACAGCTTTAGGAAACATATTGTAATACTGTGTTTATAGAGTTCTTAGGTTTTCGCGATTTTTACGCATAGGCAATGAAACTATTTTTCGGTTCGTGTAAATCGCACATGTTTGTTTTTCAATTGTATGTACATATGTTACGCGATAACTCCGATCTGTCCACCGATTTTGAGGATTCGGTTTTTGTTGGAAAGAGGGTACCTTAGTAGTAGTCCCATTTAAATTTGAAGAAAAAATTCCACTTGTAAGGGTGGCAAACTAGGGGAATGAATTTTGAGGTCGGCTTTTTTAGTACTCTGTACTGAGATTATTATGTATTAAATCTTATATGTATATGTATATAAGCCGTGGTACCCTAATGGTTCGACCTACTGACTCTTAAGCAGAGGGTCATGGTTTCGAATCCGCGCTCGCATAGAGATGCAGTGTATTTTTAATGTTCAAATTAACACCCTTGATAAGAAATTTAAAATAAATGGAAAGTTTTCCCATCTCATGAATATAAGATACGAGTTTGAGAAAGTAAGGCATCGATGTCTTATATCGTGCAGCATCTCAATCATCGACGGTGTCGTCGGCGTCGGCAGCGCCGAGCGCCGCCAGCGGCGCTGCCCCCGGCGCGGCACCGGCGTCGTCCGCCGGCGGGCGCGGGGGCTTCGCGCGCCAGGGCTCTCTCAGCGCCGCGCTCACCGAGGACGCCGAGGACACCATGAAGAACCTCCGCAAGACCTTCGCCGGCATCTTCGGCGACATGTAATGTCACCAGCACGTGGTACTTCGAACAACAGCCCTGTAAATACAACCATCGCTCAGAATTAGCTCAAGGATCGGTGAAATTTTCTGCTCTTCGTACTTATGAAAAGAACAAGTCTACAACGGTTTCCGTAATTATGTGGTCGTGCTAGCCCTACTAGACTTATTCCTTTTTCATAGCTACATATGAAAGACAGTTTACTTATTGGACCAAAGGTCCTTATCACAATTAACGCAATCGACGTATTGAGCGAAATTGGGTTATTAACTATCTGAAATCAGCGAAACGATATCTGTAAACCCCTTTAAGCGGTTTTTTATATCTTATTTAATATCAGTTTCAAAAGGCTTTGGATGCCATTATCTCGGAAGTTACCAAAAAGCAAATCGTCAGCTAAATTTAAAAATCTCGTAACTAAGTTTTTTGGACGAAATCCCTTTTTGTACTCTTCAAGCGCAAAATCGGGCAATTATTGCTTAAAATATAATTTCTAGATCTTTTTTAGTTATAAAATAGAGGCATACTCATAAACTATTAGTAATTTCATTTTTTGTGCTTAATCGAAAGTTCACATTAATAGAGGTTACGCGAGATTTAAGAATTTTGTGACGAAATGCGTTAGTTATGACAAGGATTTATCGTGTTGCAATTGCACGAGTTTGAATTGAACTATAAACACGGATTACTTTAAACTATGGGCTAATTCTGTCTGCGTTACTAATGACAGGGCTAAAAATATATGAATCGTATTATGATTTCACAAGAAAAACAACCATTATTAGTAAACTGGGAGTTTAGAAAACAGGAAGCCAAGCTAAAATTAGATATTCTTACACAAAAAAAAATTTACATAATAAATGAGGTTTTGATAGCAACGAGATTAATTACCTGTCTACAAGGTTGTTGTTCGAAGCAACTGGTGCAAACACCATGTTGATATTGTTGATTTCGTTATATATCCACGTACCATGTCAGTTTACTTATATTGTGAAAGTATTATATGGAATCAGTCTACAGAACTGTTCTTGTTTTAAAGTTTATAATACTCAGTTCAGTACTATGATCCCAGCTGCACCTGTTTTGAAGGGACCACCCCCTCGAACCAAGTGTAAAGCGCATCCGTGTTAACAGAATATTAAGCATAGTTTTAATGTAAAATAACGATAGATTTTTTACAATAAGTTTATTATAAATATGAAATACGAATCAACTGAGCTGCATTGTGATCGAGTCCGTTTGGTACCGCGCCGTACGGGGATATTCCGTTTTAATCTTCTTCTTAGGTGATCATAAGAACAACTTGAATCAACAACTCTCGGTTGAAGAATCGGGTATGATGATTTGGGTGGTAATATAGAACTGATTGGAATTGGAATTGACTACCCGTACGCCCTTGCGGTGCATGTAGAATCTCTATCACTGTCTCGGAGTCCTTTCCACTCGTTGCACCTTCTTATTCTTCAAGTCGCCACTAGTGGTCTCAGTAACTATAACCTTCAAGTTATGCGCATTTTAAAGAACACAAAGCCCTGTAAGATACTTAGAAATATCCTTTAAAAACAATTCGTCGGCTGAATTTGGGAACCTCGTAACGTTTTTGGACGAAATCCCATTTTAACTCCTCAAACGCTATATCGGGTGATTAAAGCTTAAAATATAATTTATAGACCCTTTTTTAGTTATGTAATAATAGTGGAATCTTAAGGTCCCGGGTTCGACTCCCGGGCTAGGAGAAATATTTGTATGGCCTACGTTTATTTCTCTCACGAGTTTGGGTGTAATTTGTGGTTGTCTATGTGTGTGTCAATAGCACCCGTGATTAGTGCGGGGCTATCAGCGTGAGTTTAAAAAATAAAAAATCACAGTCTATGATTTTATATATAATAATTATTTCTAGTAATCTGTTTTTGTGCCTACTCAAAAGTTCAGAGGTTAGGAGGTTTAAGAATTTGGCTGACAAATTCAACTTTGTTACGAGACTGTATCCCATCCCGGCCCAGATGGGTCCAGGCCCATCCTATTGGAATTCTCTTCGGATTTATATCGATTAAATGGAGTTTATAGGCTTTTGCAATTGCCACGTTTGAAATTAAAGTTCACATGGGACTTGTCATGGATAGGCTTGTCGCTTACTATCAGACTTGTTCGACACGTCATCACTCGGTATAATAAAAAAAACTAATAAACGTAATAAAAAAACTATTTTTTTTTTCGGATCTACTTCCCGTATGTCTGTTTATTCCAACGAAACGAGTTGGTTTGTTTGTAACAACAATTTATATGCGATTTAGATTCGAAAACAATGTTTTTAGTTAAAAGTGATTTCTCATTTCCAATATAAATAAACTTCCAAAAGGCAATTAAACTATTTTTCCGGATTTTAAACAAATAAACCCTTCGGGCCCTTTACAGTTCCATTGGTCACGGTTGACTGTGAACCGTGGTTCCACCGTGACTTTTACAGGTCCCGCCTGTAAAGAGCCCGAAACGTTGGTTAGTTTGAAAAACAAATATACCCGATTTAAATCCGGAAAAATAGTTTCATTTCCTATGTGTAACAATCGCGAAAACCTAAGAACTCGATGTAGACTTCCAAAAGTTAAAAATAATGTAGTTACGTAGAGACCACTAAAATATATAAAATGGGGGCTATTTTATTTTACACAGTCACTCTATCGCTCGTGATCAGGAGCGTATAGGATCGCGCGCGGGAAAGCCTGCACGCGCAATCGTGCGCGATTACCTGTTTCAATTTTTTTAAGCTAACGTTCTTTCGCACGCAATTGTTCGTGTTCGTTTTTGTTACAACGGAAAGAGCGTCCGTGTAAAGGCCAATAGCGCAGGATAGACCGCGTGAAACTGGCGCGTGTTGGAGTGCGCGATTGCGCACGTGACTTAAGAGCGCAATCACGCGTCTTTCCCTTTTTTCTTCCAACGTCTTTACAGCGCTTCAATTGCGCACGATTGCTGTATCAAGCGCGATAGAGTGTCTGTGTAATGCCCGCTATTTTGCAGTCTTAAAACGCAGTTAAGTGACAAAATATTTTTTTCAGATATCATAAAAAGGCATAACCCAGTTTTAGAATATGCAATTGTTTAATGATATATCAGCTATGCATCGTTAGGATTAGTTCTGATAAGTCGAACACGCCAACTAATTTTAACTATTTTTAAACGACAATGTTGTGCTCTATCTTTTGCTATTTAAAACGGATATTTCACCATTTGTCACATAGCCGCGTTTTAGTTAGTGGATGGCAGTCTTGGCGACAACGACTTGCAATTAATGTCTAAACACTCGAAAATTTCTAAATTGTAGATATCATTGGTGACAAATAAGGAAGTGTGGCAATAACTAGTATCGAAATGTTGTAAGAATAAATGTGTCTATTATTTTTAACGTCCTCTGAAAGAGTGAGATGCGTTTATTGGTGAATATATTAGTGTATTATGTTAACAGAATGTTAATTTCCACTGTAAGTTTTTTCCATTTCACTGTGTGTGGTCCTACAGTTTTAGACCTAATTGTTGGTTGGGATGTGAGCAATGCTATTGAAGACAATATTGTTAAAAGCAAGTTTTAATCCACATTTTATATAACCCTATTACTAGTTGTATCTCATAGTTTTAAGAATATCTTGTTACTTGTGTACTTGAAATGTATTTATGTTATTTGTGCTTTCAACTTTTTTACAACGTGATATCTATTTAGTTAAAAGACATCTTAAATGTATTTAAAAAAATCACGTAATATAATTATGACTTATATTTACGAGATATAATTATAATTCATGTTATGTGAATTATATATATAATATTTTCACATAATTATGCCTTAAAAAGTTTGGCCGAATACAAGTTGTAAACATCAACAGCATTTTAAACCGATTACTTACATCTTATGTAGTAAAAAGTTAGTTTACGTAAGAGTTAGGGGCGAAAGAATGAAGTCTGATGAGACGTCATATCAAGAAGGTCGATGTTATCCTTTGCGCAAACGCATTAGCTTTCTCCAAAATAAATTTCTAATCTATAAAGACATATTCTTTAGCTGTGCGAAACAAAGTAGATATGTATTTAAAAATATATACCTATGTAGTTGAAAATTTAATCAAGTAATTTTGTTATTCATTCGTATTTAAGTAACGTAATCGTAACACACTTGTTATAGTAGATTTTACAACGAAAATAGCTATACGTGTATATCAGTAAGCCCGTGACCATAATAAGCGGCGGTGATTGAGCGCGCTCCTGGTTACTGTCTCTGTAAACAATGTTATCTGAGCAATGACTAGGCACCAAGTCTGTTAATTTTTAACCGACTTCGCAAAAGGAGGAGGTTCTCAATTCAGCTGTATTTTTATGTGTATGTTATACGATTATCACACTTATCAAATTATGTCGTAACGTTTTATTTATCGTTCAACGACTGTCGCGTCTAGCCTGTTGATGGAAACAGGTTAGACGCGACTATCTGTTGTGACTGTGTCGTGGTCCTTTATTTTATCGTTGAACGACTGTCATGTCTATCTGTTTCCACTAGATCTTGACCACAATTTATCGGTTCACGACAGCCGCCTTGTCGTTTGCACGGCAGAATCGCTTGAAGCTGCGATTATCCGTAGTCACATTTTTGTCGTGACCTTTTGTTTATCGTCGTATAGCTCATCCCATTGACACGACAGTCTGTCGTCGTAACGTCACAAAAGTCGTAAACGACAGCTAAGTTTGTTGTACTACATGTATGTGAACAACTTCATTTAAATCACAGCCACGATACTTTAAACTGCACGACCATCTGTCGTCACGACAAAAAGAGAACGCTCCCTAAATATGTTTGTTTTCTATACAAACTGGATACTTCGGTGCAAAATAGCTGCACTTGTGTTGAATATTTTTTCATGCAGTTAATTATCCCACCTTCCCTCCGCATAAAATTAATAACACAAGCGCAACTACAGTCACAAAGCACCACCAAAAATATACCCGCCACGTGTTTCGCCTCTCCAAGAGGCATCCTTTTGAGCTGCTGAATGCTCGACGCTCGGCCGAAGAATGAGCTCGTTCAGAACGGTTGGTGTATTTACACCCCGCTAACCCCAGTGTTGCTATTGTTGAAACCACGTGGGTTTCAACAATAGCAACACGCGTCGCGGAGTAGCAAATTAATTTACTTCCATTGTTATTTGTGTATTGATTTCGATAATTTTTTTTATGGAATGGTGGTATCTCAATAGTGGTCCCATTTGAAGACAATATTCCACTTCTAAAGATAAGCAAATTAGGGTATGAATCCGGTTTATTGGATTTCACAAATTTTCCATTACCCGATGTCAATAAAACTTGGTAAATGCATGCAACGAACACAGCGAAAGCGAATAAACAAACATGTGAGGTCGTTTTTTTTATAAAAAAAGTTATTATAATACCTTCAAACCACTTGTCATTGTAATTTCACTGTATTGTTGATTATATTGTAATTATGATAATTGTAGTTCTGTTAACATCTAGTTGCAATGGCGGCTGCGTCTCAATAGAGTAAGTGAAATGGTAGTGATGGCTTTCATTCGTTCAATTACTAACGATATCGATGTTGCCTTACTAAAACTACCACGAAAATTACTATGCATATCTTAATCTATTATATTTTATCTTGTTTTATCAGCAATTTAGTCTTCAAATTAAATACATATAATATTAGTATACTATATAGGTACACCATCGTCTCGCCATTGAAGACCAGAATACCAAAAATTATTACAAAAAGCTAGTTCTCTTAACTTTTAGCAGAATAATAATAGTACAAAATCCTGCCATGATTTAAAATTAGCAGACTTGGTGCCCATTTTGCCACTCATCGTAGAACCTTTTCTCTTTTACTTAATCGGGATGTAAGTGTCTACTTGCTAACTACTGAAGGAACTGTAAATCAAGTAATCGTAGATTAACTTTGTATACAAATGCACCAGTAGCTAGTTTTGACACAAAAACTTGTAGAATTCGAACACCGTGTACGTGTCTTCAACCTATATGTCTATAAAATGCGCAATTAGATAAGTATTAACAATATTTAATACCATAACTTTCTATTCAGTTCAATTTTTTATACAATTATGATAGTCAATGAAGAATTTACTTAGGTACATACTGTTTTTATAGAGAATGAAATGGTTTTAATTGAATTTTTTAAATGTTTGAAGATTGTTCTGCGTTTACTTATTAGAATAAGAATATAACATAATTAATATAAACGCTGTTGTTGTTGTTGCTAACAAGTTATACAATGTACTCATATGGAAATGATGGATAGACTTTTCCAAAGTATGTTGCGATAAAAGCTACTTTTATAGGAGTCACCAGACTTATCAACGTGGAATCGGCTTGAGCCGTAAGAAAAAACTTTATATATGCAATACGAGCAAGAAGGCGGCGTTTCGCTTCCGCTAGCACCGCGCCGATGCGAAACACACGTCATTTTTAATGATTATTCCGTGTCTAAGTGTGGTGACACCCTAAAGGCAACCTTTGCACTCCTGTGGGAGTGGTGCTAGGGAAGACTTGGCCAGTGTCAAGAGCCAGTAGTTTATATAGTGACAATCTGTACAGATGAAGAGGCATGGTCTGTCATATACTCATAAATTTAAGTTTCGTTGAATGTGACCTTACGTTAATATACGTTACTTATAAGCAAGCAAATTTGCTTATTATAGAGCTACGAATTTTCCAAAATGAAGCCTTAATTTTGATGTTGTTAATATATCCATACGCGAGGAAATTTAGTTTTTAAATTAAACAATACAAAAAAAATGTTTTTAAAGCGGAACACGAGAAATGGACTATAGCTTTAATGGTCAGTTGCTTTGGATTTTTAAATCACATGCTTATTAATCTACTAATTCCCACACGACGACCATGTCTTTGATCGACCGTAACATTTTAATGGAATTTGAATGCATGTTAATCTATAATATATTATAAAATAATAAATACCTCTTTTGGTAAATACCTAACATTTTGTGCTTGTTTTATTTTCTAAGGCAGTCATCGAATTTAAACTTTTATTATTAAATATATGATTACTAAAATCAACGACAATATAACACCGTTACATTAAATAACACTATAATATTGTTGATTTAAATATTTCTATTAATTTACCTGGCCACAAATGAGCACTCCAACTTCGCATGCTGGTCTTGGTTATTTTAAATATCCTGCCGTATACAAACTATTTATAAATATAATAAACAAAAACATAATTATTTAAAGTACAAAGTCGTTCAGCAATGCGGAGCACGTCCTAGTGAGAGATCCATGCCGGTGTTCAGGCTGTAGTTACGATACATGCCAGCTGCTGCCAAGGCATTGGTGAACCTCTGACCCGCGGGGTAGAACACAGAACACACAGAGTGGATACCTGCAAGGATATTCAAGCATTATTACTACATGTTACTCACGAATACACGCGTGGGTAAAGGGTGCACTTAGCATAGCTTTTCCTTCTCACTGTAATTTTGGCCAATTTTATTAGGAGAAAATTGTATCAAAAGGTACAGTGTGGTTTTTTTAACTTTAGGAGAGTTTTGCCATACGCCTAGATAATTTTTAGTACTAATTGGTACGAAAACAATTTGCCGTGAAAAAGTAAAACTGTAGTATATTCGTTTATAAAGCCAGTGTTTCCCGTTGGCCAGATTGATGGTCAGACTGGTCTGGCCAATGGGATTTTTTTCCCTAATGATTTTTTAAAATATCGTTGTGTACAAAATAGCAGACTTTTGGTCATACAACTATTAAACAGGTTTTATGTGTGTGAGTAGACAGCCACACATATGATCATATGATAAACGAATTTTTAGCGAATCGATTCAAACGCTCGCAAACACTGCGTTGCAACCAAGAAGCTTATTTACTCCACTCGAGTTTACACTTACAATTACAAGTAGTTGCTTCACTTCAAAAACAAATCGAAATTAACAAACAAAACTAAAATTAAAACTACCTCTTATCAAAATGCGCAATACATACGCGCGACTACAGCGCGTCTGCGGCTCGTATAGGCATAGGTAACGCGCGTGTGTCGTCGGCGCGTATAAAATACGCCGTATGCATAGATTCTAAACGTGTGGTCCTCTACGTAAAAGGGCCAATTTATATAAGAATAAATTTATAGAAGGTCATTATATTCGTCTATTCCACTAACTTCAACTATAAGTTCAGTCAGTTGAAATAATCGGACACAAATATTCCAATTAGTTCAACTAGGTACAACTTTTCAAAAAGTTGAAATTATTGGACGAAATTCATCCTGTTAGTTCAACTGCAAATAATTTCCTAACCGATCGATGCTACGAAACGTTTTATTTCTACGTACATAATATATACCTACGTACATAATAAAAGAAAACAGTTAGCAACAATAAGCTCGTCTTTATTCAAAAGAAATAACAAATTACCATCAAACGGTCGTTAACGCCAGATGACTTGGCAACCTAATAAAACACATAAACTCTTAATTGCAGTAACCAAATAGATACAAAAATTTAAAAAACCAACAAATAACACTATAACTTATCATGAAGCAAGTGATGAAGACTACAGATTTACAATGTAATTGATGAAGTTGCGCAGGTACCTTTAAATCAAAAGTCTAACACAACTTCATTAATTTATAGTTATAACCATTGACTTACAAATAAATGGACGACGGGTCTAATACAAAAACCACGAAAAAAATGTCCCAAGTCAACCTATTCGAAATTTAAATTGTAATATCATCGCAGTATCGCGCTGTCAGTAGAACAAATGAAGACTAAAGCGGAGTGTCGCGCTCTGTATACGATTTTAGCGCCTTACAAGTGCGGACACTTTTTAGCGCGGACCCGACGTCCATATAATTGTAAGTCAATGGTTATAACTGATAATTTTATCGGAAAACCAAAATAAATGCAGCATTTTTCCAAACGCGCTCTTCTACAATATTTTTCAATCAGGATTGATCCATGCCGGTGTTGAGGCTGTAATTGCGATACATCCCAGCGGCGGCCAAGTGGTTGGTGAACTTCTGGCCCGCAGGAAAAAACACAGACGGCACCGTGTGTATACCTGTATGAAACGTTCTTTGTAGTACAATAAATTTTGCATAACTGAGAAATGAACTAGATACAGTACAAGCTTTTCAGAAACAGACGCTGCCTGTGAAGGTATATCTATAAATCCAGAATATTATTGAATTGATTGTTGGTTAGGTACCAGTATGGACAGTTTATTTACCAACGGCTCCAAATTTACTTGGGAGTAAAGTTTCAAGAATCACATGGGCTATAAAGGCTTTTAAGAATGAAAAATATACTATGAGTAAAAATTTCTTTCGAAAGGGACCGGTAAGCCACTAACAAAGGTGTACATTTAGAGATAGTAGTGAAACATTGATAATGACATAGTGACAGAGACCAATTGGAAGCATTTGAAGAGTCCAGAGAAAGAATGATCAAAGTCACTTGAGGAAAACTTTACGAAAAAATAATGTTTAATTTAGAAAACTGTTCAATGTTGGTGAAAAAGATAAGCAAAAATGCCACCTGAAACAAAGTGAACGTTGACATAATGTGTGTAACCCTATGTAATCCATTTTACCAAAAACACCCCTTATAAATCTTTTTCAACTTTTATATTATTTAGTCACAAGCATTTTATGCCTAAAACTCAAAGTTAATTTTTCAGGATAGACCTTACTAGCCTTTTCCTGAATTAGGCAAAATGCGCTTTGCGTATAACGAATTAGATGACGGTATTAACTCAAAACATATTTTTAAGTGCCTTTGATCGTTCTTTCTAGAGATGAAACGGATAATGATTAGGCCGGATACCGGATATTCGGCCGCCGGATATTGAACTCACAGCGGGCATCGCCGTGATTGATTTGATTTGACGATTTGAGTTGTTGTGATGACTTGGGTTTTGTTAAAACGATAAATTTATTCGATAATATAAACAAATACACAACAGAAAATGTCAACAGTAAAAAATGGCCAATTTAGCAACATTTTAATACCAGTGCTGTTTATTTGTTGTACAGAATGAAAATTCCTTATGGTGGAGAAGGAAAAAAAGCAACCGACTTTTACCACTTAATGCAGAAATACTGGTCTTCATCCACCATAATTTAATTTTATCTTTAATATTATCTAACTTTATATTCGTTACAGTTACCTAAAAGTAACGAACAGATTGTCAACAATCGTGTAGTTGCTATTTATTTATCATATTACTATCTCTTTAATCAATAAATCAATTTCTTTGGTGTACTGACTGTGAATTATCTCTCGTTCTTTCCCTAGACTCTTCATTTGAAATGTGATGCTGGAGAACAATGGATGTCATATTTGGACGAAAAGAAAAACTACAGGCATATCTCTTAACTGAGTCGGTTCCTAAGGTAGCTGGGCGGTGCGGGAAGAGTGACCGTTTCGTAACAGTTATATTGCGTTGCATACGGGATAATTTCAACAAGATTTTTCAGACGATATTCAATAACAAGTTGATTGAAAAAAGTGCCTATCAAGTTAGTCAATTGTTGTTATACGAAACGATAATAAACTAACTAAGTATTTCACTGATAATTTAAATGAATAGACAGTGACTATTTGGCACTTTTTTCAAAATCTTATCGTTACAGAGATGGTTAGATAATATATTCCATTTGTGCAGAGCAGCAGCGCTTGCTATTTGCATTATAAGCCGTAACGTCTATTTGTATTTTAAACGTAGTAAACTGTTTACAAGAGTTAAGTACTAAATGTAGTTTCCTTAGCATGTTTGATTATATAATTGACACATCATCTTTGGATTTGTCACTCTCCCCAAATAATGCACTTATTATGTTACTCGTGTAAACAGGAATCAAGTACGCTTCGCGTAAAAAAGTACAAACAAAAGAAAATACCCCAAAAAGAATTGTACATACCTTATGATCAAACTGAAAGTGAAAAGAAAGACGTACAGTACAAATAATCTCTCGGCAATTTTCGGATTTTCGAATGCATCATACGATACCAAATTCCGAATACAAATTTCCAAGTCTAGTAATTATTTTCGTCACTACTAAAAACTTCGTTATTTTATTTTGATTTCCACGTGAATTAGTTAAGCTATAAAACGATTTCCCTTTTTATAATAATATTTGTTCCTTAACAACCTTCTTTTTTTCTTTTTTTTTTATAAACTAAGCGACGGGGCGAACAAGTCGTGCACCTGATGGTAAGTAATGGAACTCCCTTCCGGCACATGTCTTCCCTCCCTCTTATGATATGGGGTCCTTCAAACGAGGCGTGAAGAGGCATATTGTAGGCAGGCAGGGTGGAGGCGGCTAGTGCAGTGAGGATTCCATCGCTGCACTAGGTTCCTTCGCGTTTGGATACCACTTTCCACTTAACATCAGGTGGAGTGGAGTCATTTGCCTGTCAGGTATAAAAAAAAAAAAAAAAAAAAAAGCAATGCTTATCCTTTACAGTTGCATTGCCACTCAGAGCACTGCCACTGTGTCCGTCACCCTGAGACATAGCAGTAGAGCTCCTTGTGAAAGAGTTCGTCCACGGAAGTACTGCCACCTTAACTATTTCTGCCACCAAGTAGTAATGTGAACATTACTGCGGTCCAATTTCGAAGGGAAGGGTGCTGGTGAAATTACAGGCACATGGGACTTGTCAACTTATGTCTCAGGGTGTCGGGCGCAGTGGCAGTGCCCCTTAGATTTTTGCGATTTAAAGCTCTGAGTGACACTGCAATTGCTAGGAACAGGCGTGTCGCTTACCACCAGATACACGACTTGTTCGTCCCGTCACTTACAATTATAAAAAAAATAAGTTGACAATTCCTATGTGCCTGTAATTTCACCATTTAAATATTAAGTTTAGTTATTTATAAGTAGTATTTATACTACTTCCAAATAGTAGATTGTGTCCGGTCTGCAGCAAATGCGAAGAGCACCTGATATAAATCCGACGATAATCAAAACACGAAAATTGCCGAGAGATATTAAAAGAATAGTTGTACTATACATTTGTAAAAGGACAAATTAATTGTTATTTAATACACAATTGAAACACATGCATGGTTATACTGTGGTTTATTGGCTCTGAAACATACAAATAAAGTCACTCCGTTAGTAGGAGGTTATGTGTGATGATTAAATAAAGAAAAAATCAAGGCACGTAACTAACACAAACTTAAATTTCTAACAAAAACATTCTTAAGTATCTAAAATTATTACTTAATAATTAAAGTCAAAGAAACTTTTTAAGCTTATAAATAGGGTATACTTTTGCACTTTTTAGTGAATTTAATTATACCTACTTTATCTTTTTTTTATAATTTGGCGTGCCGGCATGGGCGGCGTTCAAAGCGTAGTTCCTATACATGCCAAATTGAAACAACATTTGAATTTCGTTATTCTGCGGATAGAATACTGACGGAACAGAATGGTATCCTAAAAGCGAAAACAACACACAATAAATAAATAAATAATCTCGTACAATGTACAATAATATTGTCTCCTGTAGTGTATTTACTCGAAAAATGAGAAATTGCACTATAGCTGCACTGTATTCTAATTCAGTTTAATAAAATTCATATATACAAAATAATTCATTTTAACACCATTTTTGTATGGTTTTAAAAGTTTCATATGTGAAAAAATGGTGCAGGCCTCTTTCAGTGTTATGTAGAGGTATTCAAATGTAACGTAAAATTTAAAGAATGTAAATATTCAATAGATTTCTTACCTGGTGGATACCATCCGTATTCGCTGGATGAAGTTCTATAGAACGGATGTTGATAATTAGTTTGACATCCGTACCCGTTAAACCAATCTATAACATCACAATACGATCAATCTAACAACTTCCTTATAATCATATCAGTTATTAAAGAAATCTTCTAAAATTACAATAGATGATTTAAGAAAATACGGTGCTGTATATCTCGATCTCCCTTGGAGGTACTTAGCATTTCATGTAGATTGTTAACAAAGCGGGTAGTTTACCCGCATGGTTTTAAAATTATACGATCAATGAACTCTACGTTGTTAAGTTCATTGCTTAAGTCCTATTATTAAGTCCTATTCTATTTTAATTTCTGATATTGAGGGCATAAGCTTTTATTGTGAACTCATAAAAAGGATAATAGGATAAAACTTTTTTCGGGGAATTCATTCTAACTCTTCTGTTTCTTATAACCGTTTCAATTTCTGGATATCGTTTTTTGTAATATTTTTTTAAATTATTATAATTTATTTCGTATCTCATTAAATGTCTAACTAAACTTCCAGAACTTCAACAAACTCAATTTACAGCAAAATGGAGATTTAAAAAATTCAACAGAACTTATAAATATAAGACGGCGTTGAGAAAAAGCAATATGCCTGTGATATAAGAAAATAGAATATTCGTTCTTAGTTCTCTTGTAGCTCTATTTACTTTCTGCGAAATAATTCTTCCTAGAGTTACTTTAAAACCTGTAGGTTTTGTTGTCATTAATATTGCGGCTATAAATGGAGACTTAAGCTAAGAGTTATAAAAGTATTAACTCTACTCATCAAATATGGCAAAGTTATCATAAATATTTACTAAATGACTCGACCTTAACACTACCTTACGAAAGTCGATTGTTTGTTCCACGGTTGTTTCATTTCGCTTTATAAATGTCAGCCTTAATATAGACAAAAGCGATGTGAAATGGAGGGTAAACAGTACGTGAGATACATATGAAATTTTCAGGATCAAAAGTAAAATCTTACGTGGATGTTCAAATCTCTTAGGCAGGTCGCAAGTGGCGTAAATATCTGAAGTCTTCAAAGGTGGTTTCTGGATCTCCGCTCGGAGGCAATCCTTGTTCGTACAATATGCGGAGCAGTAACCAGCACATTTCTTCGTGGCAGGAAGATCATCATGTGCTTCTTTCGCCTCTTTATCTTTCTCTCGTTGTTCATCAAGGTTTTCATCAAATGCTGACTTTAACAAATTGTGGCAAACAGGTTCATTCATCGTTCAATGAAGCACTCGAAAAAATGCAAAATCAAAGGAAAAAATATAAGAAACGGGCGTGAAACGCGTGACACCACCAAGTTCGCAGTCACGTTTGACGTCTCCTTGACAACGTGATTTTTATTTCGTTTCGATCAAAGAGGCTTATTACATTGTTCCTTGTTACAAAGGCTTCAAGTCGGCATGATGTGGTTGTAATCGTACTAACATATTTTTGTTTGATCGAAGTTCTAAAAGCAATTCTCATTTTATAATAAAATATAAATATAAATAAAATATGACGCACACACACTCGATAATATATTATTGAGTCTTAATGTTAGCTTTTTATTTCAGAATATTATTATTTAAGTTCAAACTAAAGCATTCAAATGATGGAAAAGTAGCTGTTTCATGCAAATAATTAAGTTCACTAAACAGTGAGACACACAGTTATCTAAATTACGCGCTTATCAAATATAAATGTTGACGTACAATAAAACGAAAATAGAAATAAAATTTTCCCTTGGCATAATAAGGCCACATGTATACGCCAAAAGTGTTCTTGTCACATGAAAGTTAAAAAAATAATACGTACTACGTGACAAAAATTACGTACATGTGAAATTGTATAACTGTCCTATTTAAGAGTCTATACAACCTCAAATGGCTTTGGTTAATTCCGCACAACAGTGAAAGTGTTGAATCAGTCATATCATAAATAGTAACTCCCGAAACTTGGTTGAGTTCAACGCCAAGAAAACCCAGGTATGCGCGTTCAGCTCCAAAAAATCCCCATTTCTTCCACTTCCCCATCTTCAGGGTACAACGCTGACGCTGCAGGACAAGCTCAGCCTGCTGGGGATGAGCATCCGGAAGGACATGAGCAACAAAGATTATATCGAGAGCGTCATCTGTACCGCGTCGCGCAAGCTTGGCATCCCGAACAAGGTGCACCGATTTTTTACTCCAGAGCTGCGATACCTGTTGTATAAAGCTCAGGTCCGAAGCAGCATGGAGTACTGTTCGCTCCTTTGGGACGGCTCTGCCAAGGACTTGCTCGATGCCCTAGATGGACTGCAGCGCTACGCCTTCCGTGTTGTCAACGATCCTCATGTAACTGAGCATGCGGAGTCGTTACAGCTTCGCAGAGATATAGCGTCTCTTAGCGTATTCTATCGCCTGTACCACGGTGAGTGCTCTGAAGAGTTATTCAACCTTATCCATTCCTCTCCTTTCCATCAGCGGACCACCCGTGCCGGACTGCGTTGCCACAGATGGACGGTCAGTTCAATACCGTCCCGCACTAAAAAGTTTGGCAATTCGTTTTAATGCCGAACCATCAAATTGTGGAACCAACTCCCGGCGCATGTATTCCCTCCCCTCTATAACATCGGGTCCTTCAAACGTAGTGTGAAGAAGCATTTGGCCAGACCGGCAAAATGATAGTGACGGAGTGAAGATATTTGTGTTTTCCATCCGTTACTCTCATCTCTGGACTGTATTCGCACTTTCCATCAGGCGCGGTGCAGTCATTTTGCCGAGTCACAATAAAAAAAAAAAAAGTAAAATTGAGGATATTCACTGATTAATTACTACATGGTGTAAAAACACGATTCCTAAAAATTTTTACATTACAAAAAAAAACAAACCTCGAAATTTTACAAGAAAACCGTTGTAGTCAATAGGTACTTTACATATACCCATGATTTTTTTTATATCAACTGAACTAAATAGAACATGTATTAGTATACGATAACCATTTTTCAAATGGCTTCAATTTCGTTTGTAAAGAAAGTAGTTCTGAAACATAGCCAGTGCCGCTCGACTCAAGCAAAATAAACCGTATTAATACGGGAAAAATTAGAATTCGACTGAGGTAGTACCGACTCTTAAACATAAAAGTTATCGACTAATTTCATTCGTAGTATTTTTAAACCTCGTGAAAAGTTGTCATTTAATGTGGTATGTATGTTATAAACAACAAACACTTTTGTTTTATAAATCCCACTCCTTGATACAGAACTCCTTTGAAAATATAATATAACCTTAGCTCTATAAACAATACGCATTAGAGATTATGCAGACAGTTCGGCAGACGATTCAATTTAGAATTGCGTCTGAAGATGTGACGCAAACAGAAGATGTTTTGTCGAGGGGTGAACACGATTACGCTTGAACGCACGAACGACAGTTCTTTGCTAAATCCTTTATTCCCATTAAACCAATTTTCCATCCACTGTACGTAGTTCGTTAAAGCATCGGTCTTGCATACAAATGAACATATTACGTTATCTTCGGCTGTGTTGGCTCCAACTGCCGCACGGACGAGTGGGTGATTATCAGCAAATACTCATTTTGCTATCGTTGTTTGCGCACTTTACAACTCCACAGTGTAGTTTTAAATGCCTCAGTTGTATTATTAAGATAGTTTCGTTTAAATAAGTTTGCTTTTATAAACATCCTCTTATGATTATATCATATCATATTAGCCTACGAACTTGTTCTACTGTGTATTTTTAACAATGCTTTTTCTTTTAGTTGTCTCTTTAGTATCTTTAATTGCTTTCTTTTTCTTAGTCCATAATAGATGTTCGTATTTTTGAGCAGTGGTTTATTTTGTTTACACACTTTTTAACAACATTGTGGTTTTTTGTTCTTACTAAACAACAGGCCACGTGGATATGTGCAGTATAGTGGAATAAGCCGCATGACTTTCACGTCAGTGATGTCAGTGTCAAACTCTTTATTTACAAACACTTGCTTTGTCCTTTTGAGTGTTTTTATTGCGATAATTGGACTTTTTAGAAAAGCTCTATTATATAATAAACTCACCATAGCCACGATTAAAAACCAAACCCGCTGAAAGAAGAAGAATAAGATCTTGCAGTACATCTTTCGTAATTTTCATCTTTGTAAACTTTAATACAAAAACGAATAACACAAAAATACGTAAAAATGGACACAATTAGCGTGACTCAACCAATAAATTTAAGAGTGGTAAGATTCGAACTGGATTTCTCGTCGTTAGTGTCTGAGACTCCCAAGAAAAAGAACACACCGAAAAAAGGTTTGATCCCTAAGAAATTGGTGACGTGGCAGAAACATCGAGTTATAAAACCACCACCACCACCACCACCACCTCTGGACGGCAATTCTGCTACACAAGTAAGTTAAACAGAAAAAAAATTTTATATACAGAACCTTGATTAGCGTAAGTAGTATTTTTTTTACAATATCATGTCACGGGACGAACAAGGCGTGCCTGATGGTCAGCTACACGCCTGTCACATAATAGTTGCAGTGCCACTCAAAGCTTTAAACTATAAAGATTTGATGGGCACGGCCACTGCGCCCGTCACCCTGAGACGTAAGGTGACAAGTCTCATGTGCCTGTAGTTTCACCAGCGCCCTAACCCTTCTAAACCCTTCTAAACCGGAACACAGTAATGCTGACATTATCAAACAAGTGAACCTATGTTGTAACAAGTGGACCTATGTTGTTTTAAATAAATACCACTATTACTATTATTGCTTTGCGGCAAAAATAGGTACGGACGAACTCTTCCCTGGACGAACTCTTTCACAAGTACCTCTACTGCTTTTAGTAGTAGATTTCCTAAAGATTTTAGTGTAAGAAATACGAAATTATTTTTTGTAACTGCAAGCAATTTTACTTTTAACAATTTATGTTCCTGACCTACTCATACTTACGACCATGGATATAGGAAAAAAATGTATGTGTTCGACAGACCAATCATTCTTATCGTACTTCGAAGCGTCTTCTTAAATTTAGTAAAATCACAACAAATTCAATTACAAGTTTCGAAATATAAACTTAAATTAATTTCCATATTTATGAGCTATGAAACTGAAACCAGTTTTATTTGTTTAGAAACGTGACGTAAATCAGCTGATAGAAGAGCTTCTCGACGAATTGTATGCGGACCAACGGGACTGGAGTAACAGCAGTGCCATCGAATACAGTCATGGGTATTTATTTAGGGAGCTATTTGTACGTATGTTATATTTAAAATTGTTTGAATACGAAGTAATTTTTTTTTACAAATGAGCCATTTCTTTCTTTCTAAGGTACATTAAATACTAGAAACTACAACTAGGATTACATTATATGAATAAAATGGGACCCCGCGTCAATTTATTAATTGCCTCTGCGGCCGAACGGACCTGAACTGCCACGCAGTGGTCTCGGGTTCGTTTCCCGGGCCGGGAGAAATATTTGTATGGCCTACATTTATTTTTCTCGTAATTTTGGATTTACTTTGTGGTTGTCTATGTGTGTCCATGGCACTCGCGATATAAGGTTTCCGTAGTGCGGGGTTATGAGTGTGTGTTTTATTATTATCAATTTGCCCAAGATGCTGTTTTCGGTATCATACCGAGTGACGGGACGAACAAATTAAAATACAGCATTATACATTGACTTACAAATAAATGGACGACGGGTCTAATACAAAAACCACGAAAAAAATGTCCCAAGTCAACCTATTTAAACGTAGTGACATGTAAAGGAATATGAAAAAGCTAAAACGTTGAATTTAAATTGTAATGTCATCTCAGTACTGTCTAATTTTGCTTGCTTCGCTGTCAGTCGAACAAACGAAGACTAAAGCGTGAATGACGCTCTGCATACGATTTTAACGCCCTATAAGTTCGGACACTTTTTAGCGCGGACCCGACGTCCATATAATTGTAAGTCAATGGCATTTTATTAATTTAAATGGTACCGCCAGTAGTCTATATAGAAGTACAGATAAAAATATTTTTTTTATATGATTTATAGTACTAAGGAGGTAGAGATTGACATTTTGACAAAAATACAAATGGCTAGTTGAAGAAATATTATTTGCACCGATGAATGTTATCTCTTGGAACGGCTTATCGGCATTAACTCTCCTTTTACTCAAAGCGTGGACTTAATGTCTTGGTCCATCGTACGAGTCATGGATGCGCTAATGCTTCTTTTTCTGAATTCTAATTTTGAATTATTTAGTTCAATTTAATAGTTAAGAATTATGACTAAACTCATTAAGTCCCTTATTTTTTAAACTGTGTGCAACTGTAGGACTGCCGACTCTTTTCTTATTAATTCAACGAAGTTAGTTTTACAAGTTTAGAATTAAGTGCCAAAACGTAAAAGTATTTAAACTAGTTGTTTGGACTATACGGACGTCACGTGCGTTACCGAGATGGCTTACTCTTTTGTCCTATTGTATTTTAAAGATGAAGCGACAAGACTAATTGGTGCAAATAATATTTCCTATATTATACATATTATATACACCTATTTCTAAAGGAAAAACACCATCCAAAAAAAAGCCCTTTGAAAAATAATTTCATTCAATAACGAACGAGACATGAAATGGTTTTTCTTGAAATTAATTTTCCGATCCAAGATGTATTTAATAAACATTTTCACGTGAAAATTTATTCAATGAAAATGTCTCGAGAACAAATATGTTTTACGCAACTTAAATATGAATGCGTATAATTGTTTATTAACAAGAAAATCGTGTGTAATGTAAAGTTTCGCAGAAAAAAATTCGCTATATATACACATTCTGTTCCCAGATCAACGTCGGCTGCGTCATTGGCTTCCTCGCAATCGATTTATGGCGATCAGAATGAAGCGGTGGAAATAAGTTATTTGGAAGATTTGGGTTTGTTTTTTATTTAGTGTATCCACCATAATTATTACGTAAGCCAAAAATAGTTTACTGTTTTTCATGGTTTATACAGTCATAGAAATTGGTAGCTTTATCACTCAAATCCACCTTCATCATCAACCCATTCATACATCCCACTGCTGGGCACGGGTCTCCTCTCAGGCGAGAGTTTAAGCCATAGTTTCCCGAAGTGATCCCTACCAGTGGGCGCTGAAAAGTCCTAGGGGGCAGTAGGGTAGTGGCGTTCATGTAAAAAAAATCGATATTTTTTACGATGTGATACATCGAAATGTTGTATCGATATTTTTGATATATCGTAAATAATTCTAAAAGATAAAAGGAAGTAAATTTTATTAAGAGTAAATAAGTAAATCCACCAGTTTTGACACATTATTCACTGACGGATGACCAGCGAATCATAAAATATATCGATAGTACATATCGATACTGAATGGTACGATAATATCGGATGGATTACCGATAGGGCCTCGGACGTAATGGGAGGGGGAAGAAATGGGGGTTTGATGCTGTCCAGGAGGTGCTACCGTATTTATCTATTGTAAATTACACTATGTTATGCTGTATATATTTCTTTCGTTAATCTACTTCATTCATCCGCTCCATGTGCCCAAACCAGCTCAGCATGTCCTTTTCTATTTTTGTCACTGCATCTTCTTTCAAACCACATTTTTCACGGATCACATCATTCTTCTCACAGCACTCTGTCACACAGCCGCACACCACATATTCAACTGCATTTACTTACTCTCATGCTACTTCTACGGCCACAAAGAACATTCTCTGATCAAATTGAGAGTGTTCTTAAAAAGGCCGCAGTGCGCAGTGAGAAGACTAAGATGTATGTATGAAAAGATTGATGAATGTATGTGAAGCAAGAGAGGTTTGTAAGGATCGTGCGAAGTGGCGATCGATAGTCTCTGCCTATCCCAATGGGAATGTAAGGACGTGATTATATAAATAAATAAATGAAGTAAAATTACACTACAATATAATAAAATTACTCCACAAATATATAACTTTTTTCCTTGCGATTTTTTGTAATAGTTAATGTAAAAAATAAGTGTTTTCAATTATTTTTTTGGTGATGGGCGTTCAATTTTTTATCTAGCCTAAGTGGGCGGTGAGCCAAAAAGTTTGGGAACCTATGGACTAACTCAAAACGTTTGTTTTTTTTTATTTTAAGTCTAATTTCCCCTTACAGAAGAACTATCGTATATGGGTTTGTTAAATTGGTCTCGGCGAGTTGTTAGCTTACAGATGGTGACTTTCTTGACTTTTTGGAGTATGGTTTTGTATCGGGGGCTTTAAATATTAATTGAAGTTTTTTTAATTTATAGACATAGAAGAAATTCGACAAATAGTAAGAGAATGTGAAGATAGAATATGTGTTGTCGGAGATCGGCTCGCGAGGTGCGTGCGTGTAAAGGATCGTCTTCGCAGACAGCAAAGGAGGCTTTGTGCTGCTTTCTCCGTGCTCTTGATGCATATCAGTAAGTGTTTTTTGTACTAACTTTTGAACTAGGCGTAACTAAGAATATTTCTTACATGTACTGATAGGTATAAAGAGAGATTAAGTTTTGAATTTTACTATCATAATATGGGCTGGGCTCTCGTTTAATATTTATTTTAATTAAAAATAAATGTTAAACATTAAAAATTTTCGAGGTTTAAAATTGTAGTGAGACAAAAACTTTATACTATAGGTTATATACGACTTCTGTATACTTGAATGACAAAACTCCGTGGTAGTGACCCGTTTGGCTCTTTCAGGTATTCTCGACCTAAATATTGTAATGATAAATGTATTTAAATGTATATTTACAAAGAGCAATCCCTAGAGTTTCTTGCTCATCCTTCTCAGAGGAATCTGCCTTACGAATGAGCAGTAGGGTTTAATCAGTTTGACAATTTCAAGTGTAATTTGCTTACCTATGAAATAGGTAAGCAAATTTTTTTGACTTTAATGTGTCTTTTCTAAAAATCATACACAGCCTGAAAGTGTTTGGTAACGTAACACTATTCCTAAAGTGAGCATAAAACAATAATGTTGATGACGTTATTTTTTTATGTTTCCTTAACCAGTTCAGTGACATTTCCTTGGACCGCTGGACAATGTTCGCTCTTTAATGTAATTAGTTGAAGTCGGTTTCTGTTACCCAAAAAAAAAAAGTACGTTCTACCTAAAACTTATTAATACTTTTATCAGAACCATACATCGTGCTATGACGTAAACTAAGGGATGATGGCGCTGTCACATAAATTGGTACATGGTCACTACAGTTTCATTCATTGTTTTAAAATAGCTCACTCACATCGGAGCGGGTTTCACTGGCACCTCTGAGCCTGTCCGCTCCGGACACTGACGTACACAGCGGCGACGAATCGATACGCGACGCACACAGACGTGCCCCAAACGACCCACTGCGCATGCTCAACGGCATTTACCACGAAACGCTCCAACGGCATTCTAAAATGACAGGAACCCATGTACCCCACTTTCTTTCGCGTCCTTATTGCGATCCTAACGAAATGAACTGCGATACAGTGGTACAGGCTGAGCAGCTCTATGGCTAGGCTCCGCGACTTTCTCAGTAAACATCAAATCAGCTGGTCGACTACGCAGTCTCAAATGCGGTCCAAATATGGCATATTATAATTCACATTTCCGTTCTATTTTCTTATTGTTGTTTCGGGTTCCATCAATTCCTTTTGTGTTATCAAGGTTTCGCCCGTAGCCCCGAAATGGCTCGCCCGCGTCTACCTGCAGTGATACTGCATCGAATTAAGCTGTCGGGTTGCTAACTTAGTGCTTAGTGCAGTGAAGATATGCGTTTAATGTCAAATGTGTACCGCGCGCAGGACAGATGAGTGCTATTTTAAACTCCCTCAGAAATTTGGCAGGCTCGTCGAAGTCCAGCTCAGGTAGCAGTATACAGAAATTAAAAATTAAATTCTTCTTGCGGATCTATTTTCCTTATTCATCGCAAGATATGATGAATGGTAGCTATTCCTCTAACCAATCATTAATTTTAACGTAATTCCATTTCACGTAACTAAACAAGATTGAGAGCTTGTAATTTGCTTCATTGATAAAATTTAACTTCGAGGTCACCCAATTATGAATATCTTATTTGTCTTTGTTTGTTAAGGTACTTCAAATTCATGGCGTGGCGTAATTTCACTGATTTAACAGGACTTTGAGTTTAACTCTGAATGCCTTAAATGTTATATGTTATATTGGATTTAATTATTATATGTATAACATACACCAAGCGAATGTTTTATATCAATAATAATTGTGAGCGCAAAATATGGAGCCCGTTAACAAGATTTTTCTATTATGTCTACATTTAAAATAAAGTTCTTTTTTACAAACAACACTACATTACAATCAACCCAATCCCATAAAAATATATGAATGGAGTGTTATAAAATATGAGAATTAGAGATACTTTTTCGAACGTTTTGTGTATCTTATCAAATGTATGCAGGTTTCCTGGCGACGTACTTCTTCATCCTTGAATAAAAGCAACCATGACGTTATACTTAATGCGCACTATGTACTTGAAGAGTAACTATGAATTTGATTAGTTTTTCAAAGGTCCTCGGGTTTTTTGGTTAGTTATGATTTAAAATAAGTTGAAACTTTATAAAAACCAAGCTCTTCCAGTTTTTGTACAAAAAGAAATATTGTACATTTGGACAAGTGAGTTCTATAATATTGTACTTGAGTGCAAAAAAAATATAATTCCTATTTGCTGGAGGTGACATGCAAATTAAGCAGGATTATTTTTACTGTTTTTTGTACATGTAGCGGGCGACAGTGGCGCGCGATTCGGCGTGGTGCCTGGCGAGAGCCCGGGTGAGGGCGGGTTTGCGGAGTGGCTGCATGCGATGCGACTGGTCGCCAGGCTTCCTGCCGGCGTGCCCCACCACTTCCGTAAAAAGGTACGTAAAGACCGTTAAACCGTAGACACAGAAAGTTATTGCTAACATCCTAATATTGGCGCATCTCGCAACTGAACCGTATGCGGGGCACGCCACGCCGCAAAGGGCGATACTTCAATTTTTCATTGTTAGCTAATTTGTTATCGCGTGATTGTTATAAATAACGGCGTCTGTTGTTGTTAAAATTACTAACGTAACGAAATAGAACAAGAATTTCCTAAGACAGTAAACGCGAACTTATTGAAAACTTGTACCCTTGGCATAAAAGGCCACGTGTGATTTTTTTAAATAAAAATGTAAGTGCACATTTTTGGCCTCCATCTCACCTGATAGAAAGTGACGATGAGGTCGACGATGGAGCACGCACAACTAATAAATGCCTATTCACTCTCGCCTTGAAAAGGTCCAAGTTACAACGTTCAGGGAACAAGTCTGCAGGCAGGAAATTCCACTCCATAGCCGTTCGTCATATTAATAAGGAAGCGTAACGCTTCGTGCGAATCTTTGGAATATCCACAACATAGGGGCGGAATCCAATCCAACGTCTAGTCCCCCTGTGATGGAAAGGCGGAATTAAATCGTGTAATTCCATCGCGCAAGTGATATATCCTGTAGAATACCGATAAGCTGGCAACTTTACGGTGTTCAAGGCTCTGCAGCTTCGCCTCTACTAATTCCGAGTCACCTATAAGCCTCTTGGTACGCTTGCTAATTGAATCCAATGTGGCCCGTTGGTATGTAGCAGATCCATTCCAAAGGTGGCAGCAGTACTCCATGCACGATCGGACTTGTGCTTGGTACAGCTGAAGCAACTGTCCCGGTGTAAAGTCACGCCTGTAATAAGTAGTCATACGTCAAACGTGCTGTTATCGCATGAGTCTAAATAACACAAACTAAATGAAGCAAATTGCGTGAAATTTTATAACTCTCCTATTTAAGCATAAAAAAGGTATCGACTAGTTCCGTTTCTTAGAACCTTTAAGGTAGGCGTCCATAGATCCGCAGTAGTAGTAGAAAATACTGGAAGAATTTTACGTCGTAGTTTAGTAAATCAGGAAATAGCGTATGATATTCTCCATGTTGCGATCTCTTCTTAAATATGACATATATCCAGATATCATGTTTCCTTTTTTTTCTCTTCTTTTTTTCTTTTGCCAACAAACAAGCCACCATGACAAATTGTCCTTCATCACTTTCCAAATCCATTGTCTCGCACACACAAGTCACACTCGTCCACTCGCTACGAAAAGTGGCGTTGGCAATCCGATAGATAGTATTTGCGTCGGCAGTCCGATTGCGGCGGATACAGTGGACGTATTGCCACAAACAGAGCCGTTTGATGCGATCCGTCTGATGCGTGCGCTGCGGATCAGTGGACGCCTACCGTTAAACGTCTCTTCTGAAAAATTGTTATTTTTTACTTTATGGGCTTATTATAAGACGGGTACGAATTAATGTTGTACCTATTATGTTTCGGTCATCATCGCACTAGTGTTCACTACCTAATATCCGTGATTATAATTTTTATTATTTAAGTATTCGATATAAGATTTTTTTGTACTACAGTAATTCAGCAGTAATGTCAGCATTACTGTGTTTCGGTTTTCAAGGGTAAGGGTGCTGGTGAAATTACAGGCACACGGGACTTGTCAACTTATGTCTCAGGGTGACAGGCGCAGTGGCAGTGCCACTGAGATCTTTGCTATTTAAAACTCTGAGTGGCACTACAACTGTTATGGACAGGCGTGTCTCTCACCACCAGCTTACCATCAGGCGCACGGATTGTTCGTCCCGTCACTTGATATTATAAAAAAATAAATAAAAAATCGAGTACTGTATCGTGAAATATTATTTAATTATTACTCGATAATACTACTTGAATATTTAAATAATAAAAAATACAAGGAAATTAGGTAGTGAACACAGTGAAACCGGTCATTCTCGGTAGTCCGAGAATGACCGGTTTCACCGGTTTATGTTATTAACCCAAAAATATAAAAAATATATGAAAATATCCTGTTTTTTTACACATTGCGTTTACTGTTTCATACAGAACTATTTTAAGAATAGTACTTGTTAGCGTTGGTCGTCTATAAAGTACATGTTAGGAATTTATATTTATTTTGAGCCCCCGATGCAAATATGTAGAACCTTTTCGTGTGTCTATCTGCAGATGAATTCATTTTGTAGATGTGGTCTTATTACTTTCTTTTTATGCTTCTCTCTATATAGTCTATTATATTACTTTACCCCGTTACGAAATTTATACAGAATACAGAAATACCCCCCTGTCATTCATACAAATACCTCTTTGTATTCTATAATAATAAAATGTACCTGTTTCGGTCGACATCTACTACAGGATTGTACAAATGTTGTAGTTTACGACCATGACACCCACTAAGAGAATTGATCACACAGATTCCGGTCCGATGAGCTAATTTAGGGTTCCATTATCGCATAATGTTCTCTACATCCTGGTAATGATCGAAACTAGACGTGAAGTGACGGCGATAATGGTTCTTAATCCCTTAAGATTATAGTAATAAATTGACCAATGATCGCCGAAGAAAAAACAAAAATATTTAACGGGAAAAACAAAATAATTATTGATATTTCACTACATTGTTACGATTAAAATATATTGAAATTTAAAGGTTTGTGTTGTTGTTGTGCGGTAGAAGCGTTCGGTCTGTTCTTTGTTATCCACAAAATACCGTTGTGGTTATTTCCACGCACATTTCAACGAATTCTGTATAGGAACCATTTTGGATGTAATGTTTAGGTGTCAAGATTTATTTTGTGAATATCAAATGCTGAAAGAAGAAGATTAACCAATTTTCTTTATTATTTCTTTTATTGAACTATGCGCAAAAAATCAAGCTTTATCTTCTTACTTATAACAATATTAATAGGTACTTATTATAATATTGTCACACCTATTATTGCCTGGTCTCAAACTAGGGAAGAAGCCGTGGTAGCCCAATGGCTTGACCTCTCAAGCATAGGCCGTGAGTTCAAATCCGGACTCGCGCCTCTAAGATGAGCTTTTCGGGGAAGGAGAGCATCATGATGAAACCTGCACGTCAAATAAAATTCACAACCTCCGGAAGCCGCATTGGCTCAGCGTGACGAGCTATGCCCTAATCCCTCGCCAAAGAAGAGACCCGTGCCCAGTAGTGGAGCATGTTGATATTGAAACTATAGAATTCCCCGTACTATGAGTACCTGAAAAACAGAACATATGTAGAAGAATAAGAAAAGTTCATATCTCCAAGTTGATCTTGGCAGGAATTGAATCATCTTCAATCTTCACATCCAGCGCCCACAGTGTAAGCCGCTGGATCAATATTACGCTTGTATGCGTAATTGGATTTTTAAAAGAATTTAGCGAAATTGATTGTATTATTGGTCAAATAAAAATATTAACTAAAACGAAGTTTAAGTACTGTCAGTCACGAAGTGCTTACGAGCTTTTTTCTTGTCGACAAACTACTCTACAGTTTGATTGGAATTTCTACAGGATATAATCACGCAAAGTGTGCGATGGAATTGCACGATTTCATTGCACCTTCCCCTTTCCGTCATCGGACAAGTATAGTATGAATCATAATTAGATGTCCAAAATGTAAACAATGGAGATAACCGTGCAATAAAATACATTTTAAATCGTTCTTTAATAATTCCTTTGCCTCACCATTTTGTTTGGTTCAATCGTCACTCCCTGCCCAATCGTACCAGCGAACACGACTTCTCGTTAATCTTTTGAACCGTTTACTTACCACTTACCAAAAATCTCTTGTGCGATAAACATTTAAAGATCACAAATATTAATAAAACGGGAATAATATTTATGAAACTGGATTTATTACCACTTTTCCTTTACCCTTTTGAATTTTGAACTTTAAACTTAGTAAGCAAGATGTATGGAGGCTGCGGAGGCTGCGGAGGCTACTACTCTCCTGGCCACATTACAATCCTACCGAACATTCATAACGTTACCAGTATCGGTACATGCTTTCAAGCTTACTATTAGGTGCACGACTTGTTCGTCCGATTACTTAATATTATTAAAAAGAAAAAATCCCTTAAAAGTAGAAGGTTTAGCACATCTGCATTTACACTTTGACAATGCCATTACTTTGTTTACGTTTTGGACATCGAATTAAGATTCATTCTATAGACGCAGGGGTTTCTCATGTTGTGGGTATTCAAAAGATTCTCACGTAGCTTTACGCTTCCACATTTGTATGGCGAACGAATATGGAGTGGATTTCCTTTCCTGCAGACTACTTCCTAAACGCTATAATAGGCATTATTTATGTGTGCATGGTCCATCGTCGTCGTAGTCACTTACCATCACGTGTTATGGACGTCAAATACGCATTCATTTTATTATGCAAAAACATTTTTTTTTTTTGTTGAAAATGTATCATGCCCACGTTAATTCTATCTACATTTACTTAAAAAGCCATTTCTGATGATAAGCAATCTTATCGTCAAAGTGACGTTTGTCATTTCTCGCCTGACTGTGTCTATGCTCACAAAACAAATCAAATCCAGAATGGTTTACTGTCGCAATGTTCAAACAATAACAATAGAGGTTTATTAACGAAGTCATGTTTGGTAAAGAATTAGCTCATTCACTATTTTCTGTGTAAACTTTTAGACCTGTGCAAGCAACTCCCGCCTGTTCGGCACGTCACTGGGAACATAGGGTTGTCACATTATTACTTCAGTTATGCCTGCCGGTTGCGTAACATAATTTGACAAAAATAAAGTTTTCATCACAGTACTCTCGTGCTACACTGAAATAACTTTTATAAAATGTACCTACTTATATATTGATATGTCACAGATTAGTATCTCGATTGTGTGAGTATGATTATGAAATATCAGTAAATGATTATGTGAGTTTGCATATAAATAGAAAAAAAAAAATACATTGAAATTAACTACTCCTGTCATTGACTTACAAATAAATGGACGACGGGTCTAAT